GATTGTTTAATTGATCATTTGCTTAATGTGCAGTGGCAAATATTCCATGCATGATCAGGACGACAAGTTATTTACAATAAATACAAAATTTTCAAGGAAGGTGCTTTAAAAGAAGTCGAGCGGGATGAAATAAAAAAAGAAAATAGAAATTTAAAAATGTGGGTAAAATGGCTAGGAACAGAAATTTAGCCTAGTAACAGGCAAGCTACGGATCCCTCAAAGAATTTTTGCAAGGGTTCTCAACGTACATAGAACGTGGCACTCTCTCTACAAGAGACATCGGATTTAAGGTAGATGGGGTGTCTAAATCATAATCCATAGAATTTTTTAATAATTTGCCAAAATGTAGTTTATATCAAGCTTTTTAAAAAAAAATGATAAAAAGAATGGGTCACGGGGCTTATTTTCACGCTACAGGTTGTTCAAAATTAACAGATTTTGTATAGATTATGCATGGAAAACCCAATTTTCTGCCATAAAACGAAAACTACACCATAGAATTTTGAGATAAAATATGAGAAGATAGCTTTAATAGTATGCTTTCAGATAAGAAAAAGAAAAAATGGGGTCACCGGACCCGTTTTCTTGCTACATAATAAAATAGATAAATTCCTAACACATTCTATTGTAAAAGTACCTTCATCTGAATTATCTGCCCTTACATTTGAGTTGCCTCCCCTTATGTGGCAAAGTTGGAAAAAATTGAATCAAACAAAAATTTTCTGTTTTTTGTAAAATACAACCATAAATATGATAAAACATGTCATTTTCTATATTGAAATGAAAATTCTTACACATGAATTACCTACTACTCTCAAAATTTGCACATTCTATTAAAGATCTAGACCGATTGTTTTCAGGTATTCAAAATCCAAGATGGAGGAAGACACCCTATCTACTTAAGTCCCTTATCTGAGCTGACGTTACTGCGCTTTTATACACCCCGTGCAGTCAAACGGGCGCCCCAATTTGGTTAAGGTTTTAATGCCGGTCGGAGGACGATCAAAGGGTCACCATATGTCTATACCCCAATCAACCTTTAGGGTTCAAACTGCAGGAAACAAATGAGCTACTGAAATGTAAAATAACGTACCAATATTGTATATCTTCTGCTCAAAAATTAAAAAGAATACACCTAACTGGTGTTGTGTTGATTAATATAAACACATATTGCTTATTCTATAATATTTATTTGTATAAATCATCTACAGTTGTAATACATATAACAATTATATAAGACGTAACTGAACCAGCAGTTAAGGATGTTCGCTACTCTGTTTCAAAATAACAAACTTTTAAAAAGACTGTTATAAATTGATAGTATATAAATAACGGAACTAAAAAAGCAGAAAAAAATGAAGGGTCCGTGACTTTGTTTTCGAGATATAAGCCATTGAAAAATTAGCGGGAAATGATTCTCTCTAGATTTGTCATACATTTAACATTGGCACCTTTTTTCTTTCAAAAACTATGAAAAAATAACAAGAACTTTATAAGATTTTCAAATATGGCTTTTTAAACTATATGTAATAAAATTATGAAAACAAAAGTAGGGGTTAGCGGGCAAAATATTCGTTAGCACTACATGGATAAAACCAGAGGATTCCGAATATCTGACAAAAATTCAAAAACAAGATGAAGAGGGAGGGTGTAGATTTTTAAGATATTATGTATAACAATATGCAGACTAGTTTTATACATCAATAAATATTTGATGAATTCAAAATGGAATACAATAAATGCTGTCTTATGGAGAATTATCATGGTTATTTAACATAATACCATAATGGTTTCCATAAAACCTCTACCTCCTCAAAGCAAAACACAAACAAAGATACATGACTCACAATTGTAGGTTTATAATATATAATGTTTTAAAAAAAAAAAGTCCAAGCATATACAAAAGTATTGATACTACATCAATTCTCTAAAATAAACTAACAGTTCTAGCTTATACAGAAGGGATATTCAAGTTGTATAAGTTAGAACTGTAGACTAGGATTATATCGTCGCTCTGCTTCCAAAATGTCGTATATGATTTTTTTTGCTAAAACTACTTTTTCACAGAAACCGGTTTGGCGGGAGGAAATCTCTGCTATTCCAAAATATTATATATACATTTAGACCAATCAAATTATTTGAAATAAGACATGTGACAAAATTGCCAATCTCAATTTTTTGTAAAGTTTGCTTCCAAAATGTTGTATGTAAACTTGAAAATTGTTGCATAGTGCCTTTGGGAATCTTAAACTTTTACATTTCTTTATTTTTGTAAAAATGAGGTTAGTTTTTGTGTTATCCAGAAATGTCCAAGTTTTTATTTCACAGCCAGTTACAAAAATGTTCAAGTTCAAATACGACATTTTGGAAGCATGCATTTCAACCAAAATTTTCAAAGCCTGTTGATGAGTAATTTTTTTGTTAAAAAATTTGTAATTTACTACATTTAGGAAGCCCAGCGACGATATATAATATTTTCTTTAAAAAGTCCAAGTATATACAAATGTACTGCTTCTAGATGTATTCTCTAAAATAAACTAACAGTTCTAGTCTATACAAAATATCACTTTTCTTAATATAAATAATGCTGTTCTGTAAATAAAACTTACTTTTCTATTTCAGTTCATTCGGTTTTGTTTAAAAATCAAAATGGTTAACTTTACTCGAGAAGCACATTGGAAAAACTGACATATCAGCTCACGTGTCACATGGGAAAACTTATATTTGCGACTGCAATATAAACGATTGATATCAAAGAAAGAGTAAAAAATTTCAACGATTGACAGTAAAAATATTTCAACGATTGACAGTAAAAATATTTCAAGGATTTACAGTAAAATATTTCAACGATTGACAGTAAAAATATTTCAACGATTGACAGTAAAAATATTCCAACGATTGACAGAACATATATTCCAACGATTGACAGTACAAATATGTCAACGATTGGCAGTACAAATATTTCAACGATTGGCAGTAAAAATATTTCAACGATTGACAGTAAAAATATTTCAACGATTGACAGTAAAAATATTCCAACGATTGGCAGTAAAAGTATTTCAACGATTGACAGTAAAACTATTTCAACGATTTGTATAGAGAAGAGTGAAAATGAAAAAGAAAGGTGAGTTATACGTAAATCTTTTATTTAGAAATTACCTGCAGCATGTTTTTTTCAAAGCAATGAAATTACCCTTACTTTCGAGGACTGGCTATATTTATGTTAAAGTTATTAGATACATTTCAAAGATAACAGTGTCTCATATCATATTGACGGCTTCGGTGACCGAGTGGTCTGAGTAGTTCGACTACAGTTATCACTAGCCTGTACACACTAAGATTGCAGGTTCAATCCCCACTCGTGGCAGATACGTTTTACTCCGGGCTCATGGTTTCTTTTTCAAGCATCAACGCTTATTCATTGTATATATAATACTTAATTGACGAGGATTGCTAGTTTTCCTGTCGAAGGCCCTCTGAGGCTCCACACCAAGAAACTGGCCGCCATGATATAGCTGAAAGTGCTGAAAGTGGTGTGTAAAACCATCAATTAATCAATCAATTTACGTCTGTATTTTCAACTAAGTATTTGTTACACAATTGATACAGGAAATAAGATATTTTCACAACACTGTTTTCTTTTCTTTCACAAATCGATTTTACAAATCTGCGTTTTGCATTTATATAAAAGGTAGATAATATGTGCTGTCGAATGAATGAACTAAACATGTTTAAATTGTCGTATTTGTCGTATAATCATTCTGTGATCTGAAAATAAAGAGTTTTTTTTTTTAATTTTTTGTCTGTCATGATCAAGATTGTGGGAAAATTTTGATAACTTCGTGTGAAAAATACAAAAATGTCAGATTAAAAAAAGGGGAAATTTGATAAGCAGTTTCTCTGTCCTGAATCATTTTATAAAATATTTTTACCAAAAGTATGCCAAGCAACCCAAAAGTAAAACAAAATTGGTTAAATTGTACCTATTGTCATACTCATTTTACACACCACTATAATAATTCTAATTCACTTCATAAACTACTGGAAATTGAGAAATTTATGTGACGTTTTTTATTTTTGAAAATAAATGCCACGAAATAAGTTTCGCAATTGATATTAAAAAACACACTAGCATAATTTGTATGCAGCATTTCCTAAAGTATAAATAATAAAACTCGCCCTTTTTTCCATTGGTCGACAGTCACAATAATAAACCTCGCCCTTTTTTCCATTGGTCGACAGTCACAATAATAAAACTCGCCCTTTTTTCCATTGGTAGACAGTCACAATAATAAAACTCGCCCTTTTGTCCATTGGTCGACAGTCACAATAATAAAACTCGCCCTTTTGTCCATTGGTCGACAGTCACAATAATAAAACTCGCCCTTTTTTCCATTGGTCGACAGTCACAATAATAAAACTCGCCCTTTTGTCCATTGGTCGACAGTCACAATAATAAAACTCGCCCTTTTTTCCATTGGTCGACAGTCACAATAATAAAACTCGCCCTTTTTTCCATTGGTCGACAGTCACAATAATAAAACTGGCCCTTTTGTCCATTGGTCGACAGTCACAATAATAAAACTGGCCCTTTTGTCCATTGGTCGACAGTCACAATAATAAAACTGGCCCTTTTGTCCATTGGTCGACAGTCACAATAATAAAACTGGCTCTTTTGTCCATTGGTCGACAGTCACAATAATAAAACTCGCCCTTTTTCCCATTGGTCGACAGTCACAATAATAAAACTCGCCCTTTTGTCCATTGGTCGGCAGTCACAATAATAAAACTCGCCCTTTTTTCCATTGGTCGACAGTCACAATAATAAAACTCGCCCTTTTGTCCATTGGTCGGCAGTCACAATAATAAAACTCGCCCTTTTGTCCATTGGTCGACAGTCACAATAATAAAACTCACCCTTTTTTCCATTGGTCGACAGTCACAATAATAAATTGGTCGACAGTCACAATAATAAAACTCGCCCTTTTTCCCATTGGTCGACAGTCACAATAATAAAACTGGCCCTTTTGTCCATTGGTCGACAGTCACAATAATAAAACTGGCCCTTTTGTCCATTGGTCGACAGTCACAATAATAAAACTGGCCCTTTTGTCCATTGGTCGACAGTCACAATAATAAAACTGGCTCTTTTGTCCATTGGTCGACAGTCACAATAATAAAACTCGCCCTTTTTTCCATTGGTCGACAGTCACAATAATAAAACTCGCCCTTTTGTCCATTGGTCGGCAGTCACAATAATAAAACTCGCCCTTTTGTCCATTGGTCGACAGTCACAATAATAAAACTCGCCCTTTTTTCCATTGGTCGACAGTCACAATAATAAAACTCGCCCTTTTGTCCATTGGTCGGCAGTCACAATAATAAAACTCGCCCTTTTGTCCATTGGTCGACAGTCACAATAATAAAACTCACCCTTTTTTCCATTGGTCGACAGTCACAATAATAAATTGGTCGACAGTCACAATAATAAAACTCGCCCTTTTTCCCATTGGTCGACAGTCACAATAATAAAACTCGCCCTTTTTTCCATTGGTCGACAGTCACAATAATAAAACTCGCCCTTTTGTCCATTGGTCGGCAGTCACAATAATAAAACTCGCCCTTTTGTCCATTGGTCGACAGTCACAATAATAAAACTCGCCCTTTTTTCCATTGGTCGACAGTCACAATAATAAAACTCGCCCTTTTGTCCATTGGTCGGCAGTCACAATAATAAAACTCGCCCTTTTTTCCATTGGTCGACAGTCACAATAATAAAACTCGCCCTTTTGTCCATTGGTCGGCAGTCACAATTATAAAACTCGCCCTTTTGTCCATTGGTCGACAGTCACAATAATAAAACTCGCCCTTTTTTCCATTGGTCGACAGTCACAATAATAAAACTCGCCCTTTTGTCCATTGGTCGGCAGTCACAATAATAAAACTCGCCCTTTTGTCCATTGGTCGACAGTCACAATAATAAAACTCGCCCTTTTGTCCATTGGTCGACAGTCACAATAATAAAACTGGCCCTTTTTTCCATTGGTCGAAAGTCACAATAATAAAACTCGCCCTTTTTCCATTAGTCGACAGTCACAATAATAAAACTCGCCCTTTTGTCCATTGGTCGACAGTCACAATAATAAAACTCGCCCTTTTGTCCATTGGTCGACAGTCACAATAATAAAACCCGCCCTTTTGTCCATTGGTCGACAGTCACAATAATAAAACTCGCCCTTTTTTCCATTGGTCGACAGTCACAATAATAAAACTCGCCCTTTTGTCCATTGGTCGGCAGTCACAATAATAAAAATAATTTCTGAATGTACCCATGGTACCGGTACACTATTTCAAATCTGAAAGTTCTTATAATTAATTATCTTAACACGTACTGTAACACTTGAAATTGTTTTTTTTTCTGATCTGAAATTTTGCCATGGCTAATTTGAAACCTGTTCGCGTGGATTTATTATCGCAGTTTTCTTGTCATTGGTTCATTTTTTTATAATTTAAAATAAAATTTACGCGAAGGGATATATTTTTGCAATTTTGTATTAATCGCGAAATTATCGATGATTTCAAAATTACAGTAAGTAAACAATATAAATATAACTACAAATTCAAATCAATATTGTAGAACTTCATTGATATTCTGGGATGTTGTAATCATACGAATTCTCAGTCGACTCGTGTCCAGCACGGCCGTTTCTGGTTGTTTGTGGAATATATTCTTTAACAAGCGTTGAAGCATCCTCTCTTTGAATACAAGATAAAATATCCTGCAAATACATAAAAATAACAAAAATAACAAAAGTAACAAAATCAACCGATAAGTGCGTTAAATAAATTACGACAAACTCACGGGGCCTATAATTGCTTACATCAACTTATTTGAACTCTGGTGGATAGTTGTCTCATTGGCAATCATATCACATCTCCTAATTTCATATTACATACATGTACCTTAAATAATGCCAAACATTGCAAGTGGTGAACTCTAAACAGGACAAAAGTACTCTGTTTAAAGAATTAAAAATAAACATACAAAAGTAAGCACACCACGATTTCACAAAAACAAGACAATCTGAAGTGTGTTATAAATTGTAGTTTGAAACTATATATATTGTGTCGGGTCTGTTGAATTAATAAAAAAAAACTTGAACAGTGTACTTTATTTAAAAATTGTTTGTTAGTCTATGTTAAATTCGTTATCAGTCTTTATTTAGGCTTAGGGTGATTAAGTGCTTGACATACGAGTGTAGATTAACTTGGCCCGATAACACAAACAGTTTCTAGTGCATTTTTTATAACAATAAAAGCAATTTAAAAAATCCCACCTGCATTTTCTCAATAACATGTTTACAGTGTATTGCATGTTCTTCTTTTGGGACAAATTATATCAAAATTATTGGTTTATCAGCTCTTACTCAAACTATGGATTATTTTATGTTAAGGGGGTCTTGAAATCAGTTTCACAGCTTTAGATGCAAGCATAATTGTTTACCTTTTTTACTACTTTACTTTAAAGGTCATCATGCATGACCAAATTTTTTTTATATTTTATATTATACAGTGTAATTTCACCCCCCCCCCCCCCTTTTCCTTACTTGCTCTTTTATGAATAATACATAAAGAAATAAAATGGATTGAAAAAGAGAGGCAAAAGGGTATTCAAACTCATAAATCGAAAACAAAGTTACAAAAAAAAAAACAACAATTGTACATTTGACCACAAAACACAACAAAGAAACTAAAGACTGAGCGACACGAACCCCACTACAAACCGGGAGTGATCTCGTGAGCGCAGGAAGGGTAAAGCAAATACTGCTCCACATGTGGCACCCGAAGTGTTCAAAGCTGTAACTCAGGAAATCTTTAGGTTTTTGTTGTGTCATTGGATTGCTTTTGTCCCATTAACATGAAACAAAGTTGCTATATCTTAATTGCGTTTTTTGGTACATCTGTGTCCACATATAATATGATTATAATTGATTTGTTTTAATCTAATCTGATTTAACGCCCCTTTTTTCTGATATTTTGACTCGACACGTTAAAGGATTCAATAATGGTAACTATTCATTTTGTAAAAATGTTTTGACCTCTGAATGTCTGCTCCTGTATACTACAAATGTAAAGTTTGATAAATGATGAATAATTATTGGAAATCCTCGGCTGGTTTAACAATTAAATTAAATGTTTCAGTTGAATGTAAGTGTATTTATATATTTTTTTTGTTAAATGTTTGTTTGTTTTATTTATCTAAAATTAGGGGGCTTCGGTGGCCGAGTAGTCTAAGTAGTCTGACTATTGTATCACTAGCCTGTTAAGTCACTGAGGTTGAGAGTTCTAATCCCGCACGTGACATGTGTGTTCGACTCCAATCTTAATTGACTAGGATTGTCCTACCGATGATCGTTCAACTTGTTTCTCTCCGGGCACTCCGGCTACCTCCGCCAAAAAAATCTCACCGCCCCGAAATAGTCAATAGAGCTGAAAATGGCGTTAAACACTAAGCAATCAATCAAATTATTTATTTATTTTCATTTTGCCAAGACAAAAAACAGATTGTATTTTGTCATATTGCATATCGCGTGCTTAGTTATACTCTAGTTATTTTAGGGGGAGTATTCGGTTCCCGTCTTATGAAAATCCTAAATAACATTTTTTTTCATATTTGCATGAAACATTGTAAAGTTGATTCAGTCGTATAGGGAATAGTAAATAATAGCTGACTGGTATATGACAGGATAAAAATGACTACTTGGTATACAAATTTAAAGGCATATAGGAGAATACACTTACCGCTAAGGTCTCTAACGACAACTTTGCGGATTCAGCATAAGAAAGGAGGTTTTCGGTTGGACTATTCATTGTTTCTAAATATCTAATACATTTATCCTTGCCAAGCGCTGACGCAAGCGCTTTCCAGTTTCTATCAAAAGCACTATGTGGATCTAAAAGAACTTTTAGTTTGACTTTGAGGTCATGTGGATAGTAGTCCTTTGTCGCTTGTTCAACTTTTTCAAGACGAACGTCTGGTGTTGTAAAATGGAGGTGAACCTGCGGTTCGGAGTGAGGACGGTTCTCATTTTTGTCTTGTTTCAAATCATTACGCATACTCGGAAGTGTCACTACTATTTCCTGTTTTCCACTTTCTTTTCCAGTTCCGGAATAAAGGTCTCGTTTATTTTCTTCTGTCACGTGAGCTATAAAATTTCCACCTTCATTTTCAAGTGTATATTGATACAAAAATAATTTAAATGTTAATTCTCGAGGCCGACAATTTTTCTTAAAACACATTGTAATATGCGGACATTTTCCATGCCAAATATTTATATAAGGAACATGTTCTTCAACTTCTTTGTCTACGTTATTCCAGCCATCAGACAAGTATCTGTAAATATCAAATTAAAAACTTTAATTTTTATGTATATATATAACAGAATATAAACAAGTCTAAATTAAAAACAACGTTCAAACCTATGATTGCGTTGGATAAAAAACGCAATTTTTATACGTGTGCATGCAATAAACATTCACTCAAACATGTATTATTTATGTTTGTCAGCATAAATTAAATCTTTCGAAAAAATCAACATGGATGCCAGTGGTGGATCCAAGATTTTCAACAAAATTAGCAAGAGCCTGCAGATGCTAATTATGCATATTATAAGTTATATGGGGTAGACAATATTTACTTTTCGATCCCAAAGGGGACCGGGATCACACAATTACAATCAGTATAAATATATACCTATGAAAGTTATTTTATAAATGTACATATATCAAATTAAGCTGTTATGAAGATAACTACAATGATCTTTTCGCCGCAAAATTATAATGCCCATGAGGGTCTGGGTGGGGTTTACCGAATAGAGAATTACGGGCCAATAGTACAAAAATATGTGTCAAAAAGATAAAGAATAGAGAATAATGGTAACTAGTACATGCTTGTCAGCCCGAGATCAAGATGTGATATGAATATGAACCCTGCATGCTTTATATGAGACCAACACACAGATCCGTGCTGTACCTTAGAAAGGCTGGACAGCTAGTTTATGGACTCCGAGAACGAGTCGACCAGTCGTTGCTCTTACTCTCAAATGCCACATGCTTACATGTAACACGCATCGTAACGAATCAGAGTACTCGAGAAAAAAATCCTGATGATCTTTGAAGAAAATCTGCTGGTCGTCACTATTATTTCTATTGTAAAATATCCCAATTTTGTCGGTCCTGTGCAAAATTCCAATGGTCAAAACTATCGGACAACCACATCTAGAACTTTTAAACTGTTTTATACTGCATATAAAATGGAGACCATTCTGCTAGACTCGGGACGATGTAGTCTGACAACTGTTCATTGTTGGAGACTGTATCTGAACCTCTTAATGTCTATTGGTTATTAGTTTTGTTTGAGTTGATGTCCCATTAACCAATCGTCTACTTTTATTCATACGGCAAAATAAGCGCTGTTATTGACATATTTCCAACGTTTGAAGGGAGTTGTTTTTTATTTATGTCAAGTGCATCAACCTGTAATTTCATTTTTGTCTAGTTGAAGGAACGCGTTTTTATCTATCTTAATTGTATCAACCTGTAATTTCTCTGTTATCTATTTGAAGTTGAGAAGTTTCTTATAAATGAAACATCCCTGAAGACGTGTGTCGTTTGTCACGTGACACCTAATGTGCATCACGAATTGGCGCCATAAAAAGATAATTGACACAGTCAGTACGCATTGATTTATACAACATAATATTAATTGTTTTATTTTATTTTGATACGGAGGGAGTAAATAAATACACATCTGCTTTTAAACGCTGGTGAAAAAAAAGATAATTCCCATAAAAAAATACCCTAATTATGGTCTTCCCCATTTTTCGAGAAACAAGATAAAAGAAAATAAGCATTTGTACATGTATGAGCAAGGTCAACATTCTAAATACCTTGGTAATACACTGTAATATTTAAACTCCTTCAAGCTTGTGCAATGTATCAAAAATAATTAAACTTTAAACTATGAAATATTTGACAATATATCTGCATGGATTGCAAACATAATATCGTTTACTTAAGTATGCAAGGTCACATTTTAAACTGTTCAAATATTGACCGTTAAGGCTTATATATCCCCTCAAAAACTTTCGAGATAAGTTATCGTTAATATAAACCGACTGACACTTATTTGGACTAAAAGAAGAATATTATTACACAATATCATAGCAACGGACCGGTAGGTGGTAGTGCGCGACCTCGTCTTTTGTTTGTAAATCTGGGTCAAAAGTCTAGTAATTCCCCCATCAAGTACTGCCACGACAGGAAGATTGTGTCTTAGATTAAAATGAAGGGTTAATCAGAAAACTTGTAGATATTAACTTTTTAAAAAATGCATTAAGAAAGCTGTTATTAACTAATTGAATAAAATGTAACATATTTATAATTATATATAAACTTTATATAAACTTTATTGCAAAACATGAAACCCTGGCGGGTTAAAATGCAAACATAGTACATTGTATACACAAGTGACAAGAAACATAATACATAATAAATGTTTTAAACAAGTCAAGTTCATATTAATTATATATTTATATATATATAATAATTGACCAATGTGGACCCTATTTTCGCAATTCCATAGATTGCTTTATATAGTCTACAACACTAGACAAAATATCTTTATTGGGATCTAGAATAGTTTTAAGTTTAGAGTTTGAGTCAAGCTGGTTAAAATTAGGATAATGGGTTTTAATTGCATTTATAATGGAATGTCTTACATTACTGTTAATTTGGCAATGAAGGAAAAAGTGTTCCTCATCATCTAAAATTTTACAAACTTTGCACAGTCTGTGTTCTCTTTGAATTTTTTTTATAACGTCCTAATTCAATTTCCAGATTATGATCACTTACACGTAATTTTGTTAAAAGTTGACGACTATTAAAATTGTTTAGATTGTGCAAGTAGTCCTCCAATTTAATTTCATTTTTAAGTTTACTATAAAGATAAAGTTTTGAACTGTTATCAATATTTGAAAGTTTTTGAAGAGTGATGTTATTATACTTTTCCTTCACAATATGTTTAAAAGTTTTTTTGAGTGAATTTTTTATAAGTTTAAAAGGTTTATCAAAATCAACATATTCTTCTTCATCAATATTAAATTCTTTAAAAATATGCTTGGCAAAAGTATACCAAGTATATATTCCATCTTCAGACATAGACTTATTTACTGCAAAAGCTTCTCTAACAAGAGGGTTTATTTCATGGCAGTTTATTCTACAAAAATATAATAAAACTTGAGTTTTAATAAAAGAGTCAAGCGGAAATCGTCCCAACTCAGACTTTGCAACTATATTACATGAGGTTTTTTTTAATTCCAAGAACAGTTTTACAAAATTTATGATGCACTTTCTCAAAGCTGAATCTATCTGCCAATGATAAAATATCACAGTTAGTTCCATGCAAAGTGGCTCTATTTATGGCTCTAAAAATTGAGTAATAATCTTCCATAAACCAGATCTCGCTATTATATAAAATTATGGGTTTAATTAGTGAATCAAATAATTTACATGATAAATCAACAGGAACATGATGAAAATTAGACATATAATTTTTAATGAAAATAACGCTTTAAGCGCTTTCTTGGATAGTTCATGTGTAGATCTCTTAAATTTTCCTTTATTATCAATTACGTTCCCAAGAAAATTATACTCTTTAACTTCAGTTAACTGATTTTGTTTATAAAAAAATTTTGACTCAAAAGAATTTCTAGAATGAAAAATCATAATTTTTGTTTTATTTGTATTTACAGTCAGTTGCCATTTGTAGCAATATTTTTCCAGTTTATTCAAAGCAGATTGTAAACCGTTTTGTGATTCTGATAATATTAAAAGATCATCAGCAAAACTAAGACTACTTATTGATGTTTTATCTAAGGACACAGGATCACATGTCCCATCAAAAATTGAATGGAGATCATTAATAAAACAATTAAACAATGTGGGGCTCAAACTGTCCCCTTGTTTGACCCCTTTATCTATTTCAAAAAATTCAGATTGTTTATTATCTATTCTAACTGAAGATTCACAACACTTATATATATCTTTAATTACTTCAAATATTTTCTTTCGAACATCATCCTTTTTTAATTTGTATAAGAGACCAGCATGCCAAACGGTGTCAAATGCACGACGCAAATCAACAAAGCAAGAGTAAATTTTACTCTTCTTTTTTGTCAAATATTTTATTATTAAAGTTTTTAGAATAAAAATACTATCTGCTGTCCTATGATTATTTCTAAATCCAAATTGATGAACTGAAAACTTTTCTTCATAATAAGTTACAGTACTAAATTACAAATAAAATGCATTACGAGTTATACATTGTACTACCGCCCTATATCCATGTGATCTCAATTTTATTCATTTCCGAATCGCGTTTTGTACAAGCAGCACTTAAAAGGAAACAAAGACTTGCATTTGAAATTGAATATATACTTACCTAAGAGCAATAAACATATCTTGGGCATTTCCATAAAACAGATAAACCTTCTCTGGACCCATCAACTGTCCACCAAACTTAGCCTCGTTCTGGATAGCCCATTGTAATGCACATGGTGTCTTGTTTAGAAAATAAACACGCACCTAAACCAAAAACAAAAATCAAGATTAAATCTTATAGTCATGGTAGTACAAATACATCAAGTCTTTACTATTATATCTATACAGTCTTTCGACTTTTAATTTCGTCGGATTGCTGTCTCATTTACAATAACCCCACCTCAGCTTGACATATTTGAGACTGGACTTTAAGCAAACAAAACCAATTAATATTATTATTAATTATACTTCTTATAATTTCAGGAACAAAATTAAAAGTAAATCATTGATTCGGAAATCATGTGACATAAGGGTATTTGTTCTAAACATTTTCATTGAACAAAACTTCTTTTGTAAAAACACCGAGACTGTAACGTGATGGAAGACGAATTGTGAGAAAAATGTGCCGCTTGATATGAAAATCACTACATATAAATATAAATGTGTAATTGAAAATATAATATTTGGTTCGTATATACTATGCTTTATCCTACCTGTTGATGATTAATGCTGGTTTGTAAAGGACTAGAAAATGCAGCCACCTGCAGCCATTTTTTACAATCATCTGAACCTGTTGGCGACTGTAAACACGTATAAAGGGTGAATGAGTCGATTTTAAGCTGACATTCGTCGGGTGTCACCACACAAGCACCGCTATTCTCACTTAGGGAGCAATGTTCGACCCATTCTTTAGACTCGATTAATTCGGTTTCGCTCTTCATCACCTGGATATGTCTAGGGTCAAAGGAACAATGTTTGAAACTAAGTGTGCATGGTTTGTCCAATTTAAGGTCATGGGGGCCGACATACACAACTGGTGATACTAATGCTTGTTTGTCTGACATGTGTGGGTTGTCACTTAAGTCCCAATTTAAAACCAGAACGATTAGTTTTGTTTCGTTCTTTTTAACAGCTTCAGGAGGAACAAACAAAGATATACCCATGCCATCTAATACCAAGTTATCTCCCTTATCGGTAACTCTTCTTGAAATGAATACAACTTCCTTATTTTGTACATGTATTGTTTTACTTCGTTCGCACACTTGTAAAAGTTGAGGAGGAATATTAGCAAATAGTTCTTGATTGGGAATTGAAATTGGGTGTGTTTCTTCTTCATCTTCGTTTTCACTGTTTGAATAATCGGCCACCGTTTCGTCAACTGAAGGTCTTGCGTGACTTTGGACAATTTGTTCACATTCATTCTGTATTGGACTTGGCGCTTGTCTAATACTCCCTTGAAAACCCGGTATGGCAGTATTTCTAAAACTGGTAGATGGAATACTTAAGGATTGTCCATTATTTGGATTCGACGTGAATCCATTATGATTGTTGATTGAATATCTGCATTGCATACATTCCGCAGAACGGGGTTGTTGACATGAACAGTTCTGTGATGAAACACCATGTTCTAATTGAAAACCTCTGTTGAGAAAACAATGGCATCGGATATTATTTTCCGTACACGACTCTTTTTGTCTACGGAAAAGCCTTTTTCTGCACATAATAACAAGTATAACTATTGAAACTATTACTAAAATTATCAACAAAAATATAATTATCAAGAATCCTTGTCCCTTTAAAAAGTCCGAACTTTCTTCAAACTCTTCGTGTCTTTGGTCATCTCGTTTAAATCTGTGGTATGTGGTTGTCTTGTAGGTTTGAGTTACCGCCATTTAGATGTTTGTGAAATTGTACAAATCATGTCTTGTTTGTCAATCTGAAAAATATAAATTTTGTATATTTTCCTTCGAATATCAGAAAATAAAACGATATATATATATTAGTCTTAGATACATGATTTATTAGTTGTTATATACTTTGAACTAGCTGTCAGTAACTGCGAGTACTTTCAGATATGTACTTAGTGTCTTTTTAGTTAAGGGGATGTATAAATACCCTGCCACGTCACGGTTTGTTTTTGTTATTTGTTTTTCTGCTTTGTATCGATCTGACGAGTTAAGTCCTTTTCAATTAATTTTTATAGTTTTATATGTTGTGCTGTTGCACAACAGTCCCAGGTAAGGGGAGGGTTGGCCGCCCGCAAACAAGTTTAAGTCATTTGGTCTCTGGTGGAGAGTTGTCTCATTGGCAATTATTCCACATCTTATTTTTATATATTACTTATGTTTCTAAATGGTATCAGTCAACAGGAAACAACGAACAAATTGTAAGTTATAATACTCTTAGAATTATGAAATTATCTCAGTGTTTTCTATCATGATGAATTTACTTTTTTTTAGAAAGAAATCTACTCAATATGGGGGCTGGTTATTGAGTATTCAAACACAAGTGCGCTTATAAGTGAAAGTCGTGTTTAAAAATGTGCATGCGGTGTAACTCTATATGCATGTACATGTTCGTTTAGATTTATAATATAACATTATTCCGTAAATTTAGTTTGTTATCATTTACAATTGCATTTGTAAATGTTGAAACTTTACTTATGAATTAGAGGTAAACCTACATTGTATGTGGTTATATGCAATATAATAAAAAAAATACATATCCTGTGACCACGCTTTGCTTACAAGGATCTAAACACACTCCGTTCGTTTTCCTGGTAATTATTATAGCATCAGTCAGTTAAATTTTTGCCTCCGTATTTTTAAAGGTATTTATCATTACGACAAAACCAGAGGATCCCAAAAGGTCTCTACAACTCTTGTGAGTGAAGGGTGGATGCACGATAAGTATTTATATCGGATAGGGTTATGCATTTCTCATTCATTTTTAAGATAACTATGTCCGTAATTATTCAACAGATGATCTGTCGAGTTTGTAGTCGGGTTAAACCACAGAAGCTTGGTCACGGTATGGACCTCCCATTTGTTTCTTTTTTTCGTGTTTTTTTTATGAACTTCTTTTATAATACTTCATAATTTTAAATAATAGTTATATAATCTTTATTACAAAATTACACCCATAAGGGTCAAGCAATACAAACAAACAATGATACAATTAAATACAATACAATGCAGTACAATACAATGAATGGAACATATTTTAAGAGTTCAATTATCAAATTTATGTAAAAAACACAATCATAAGCTTGTCTGACATGGGTCTGACCCCCTTAGTTCTAAAAACTGCCTAATAAAGACTCCAATATGACAAACCTGTTCAGGGGTGGGGTTAAGAATGTGTTTTAGTTTATTAAATGGATCAAGATGATGAAATAATGGTACATAGTCTTTTAGATAAGCAAACAAATTAGAACGCAATGATATGTTAATGTCACAATACAAAAAGAAGTGAAATTCGTCATCTAGAACTCCACATTTTTTACATAAACTTTGTGCTCTTGGAATGTTTCTGTACCTTCCCAATTCAATGCCTAGGAAATAATCACTAAGTCTAAATTTTGAGAGTAATTGCCTATGTATAAAATTATTATAATTTAAATATTCCTCAGACTGACAATTAGTTTTTAATTTCCCATAAAGACAAAGTTTGGATGAAGAATCCAATTTTGAAAGTTTATTTAAAGTTGTCTGTTCTGTGGTCGGGTTGTTGTCTCTTTGACACATTCCCCATTTCCATTCTCAATTTTATTTTCATATTCCTCTGAAACACACTTTTTAATATTACATTTTAACACTTTTTTTTATTGTTTAAAAGGTATATTAATATTAGAGTAATTTTCTGTGTTTAATAATAGAAGGGCAGTACACATAAACTACTGCTATTGTAATATCGTATGGATAAGAACAATATCACATTAAATTGGTTAAAAAATATCAAAGAATATTTACAAATTAACATAAAAAATGGAAAAGAAAAAAGGGTGGTCAATATTCAGATTTACTAGAGATAGAATAATCTAGTTAACGTTGGCTGAATAGAGTGCGATTTACTTGGACTGATTTTAACTGGAAACTAAATTTTCAATTGTATATCAAAATTAATATTAAATTTTAAATTGCTTGTATTTTAATATAGTATTTACTTCTCTATATACATAAGTTGCATAGCTAATATAACAATAACTTTCAATATGGTAGGGAAACTTTAAAGGATGTAAAAGTCCATAAAAATACTCATTTATTCATGTACATTTTAATAATTACATTTGTAATGAAATGTTGATTAATTCAATGCAAATACTCAAGACCCTTTATAAACTAGCAGTGAGCTTTTAAAGGCTTCCTTGTGATTTCATCATAAGACGCCGAAAAAAAGTAACTTTTCTTTGCGGAAGGATAAGTGTCGTGTAGTTAATCAATTCAACCGATTTTTTCTTTTCCATTAACCTAAACAACATCCGTGCAATGAACCAGCATGGATCTGATGAAACTTAAATAATAACCAGCCAGGTTTAACCAACCGAATTGAAAAAAAAAGACATTACTAAACATATATAGAAAATTTCAAAAATAGGTCTGAATAAGGAGGGTCTGGATGTAATTTTTAGAATTGAGAATAATTGGCATAAAAAAATAAAAAATAGACAAAAATAGGAAAAAAAAAAAGAAAAGAGATTAATGGGGTGCTAAATTAGAATGAATAGAGAAATGAATAATGTGCAAAATAAAAAAAAGAATTGAAATTAAATTGTATAAAAATTGAAAGAATAAAGAAAATGACTCCCATCCAGACTCCCATCCAGACTCCCATCCAGACCCCCATCCAGACTCCCATCCAGACCCCCATCCAGACTCCCATCCAGACCCCCATCCAGACTCCCATCCAGACTCCCATCCAGACCCCCATCCAGACTCCCATCCAGACTCCCATCCAGACTCCCATCCAGACCCCCATCCAGACTCCCATCCAGACTCCCATCCAGACCCCCATCCAGACCATCCAGACTCCCATCCAGACTCCCATCCAGACCCCCATCCAGACTCCCATCCAGACTCCCATCCAGAGACTCCTATACAGATTTATATATATAGTGTAAAGACATATTTGAATAAATCATCAACCATAAACGAACGTGTTGAGAATTGTTTTAGATAGTTTTTCCGTACATCAAATGTAAACTCACGTAAATCGGATTTAAATTTGCATAAATTTTACAACATTATCTTCTTCTTATCAGTGATAAATTTTAAAAGGATACATATGTACACCTAAAGCATGTCTGCGCTTCAATTCAGTATTTAATCAAATAAACACAGCAACCGCATGCATTGAAATAATACAGAAATAATATAGTTTTCGTGTCAATCGACACCATGCTAGGAGAAAATAAATATAAACAACATCGAATGAAATTGATATACTCTAACAGGTATGTGCAGGTCACAATTTGGGCCACAATATAATCCAAAGTATCGAGGGAACTCCCCAAGTTTATAGTTATGTTGTATGGATTGAAAATAAGTAAAAAAAATCACGATTGCAGACAATGCAACCTTAAACAGACATGCGCAATACAAACTCATAGTAGTAATCCTCATCACACTTGAATGACACACGTGTATATTTGTAAGGAAAACTCTTATTTTCTGAAATATAATTTAGGGTATTGTATACACGCTACAGAAATCAATGCAATTAAATTAAAAGATGAGGCATGATAGAATTTTCGAATCTAGTGGCCTTTATTGGGTAAATTCATACTGGTGCCAATTACAACGTTGATGAACGCTTTTGAAAATATTACCCAGATTGCGATATATTCTGAAACGGCGAATTAAAATAAAATGTCAGTTTCGTGACAACATTTTCTGTAAATTACGCGACTGTTTTTTTTTGCTTCAATGATCATTCATCAACATTTTATTCTTTTTCAGGACAAGGACAAGTTTTCAGAGGTTCCATGAAAATTTTGAATCAAAGGAATACACAATGTTCATTCGATTGCATTATGGCTAGAAAACTTACAAGGATTTAATCATGTTAACTATTATAAGGCGCAGTTAAGAGTCAATTTCTCGGTATGGACTGTTTAAAAAATTAATGGGGAATGTGTCCATGGGACACAGATGATGCCCCCGCTTGCATATAACGTTATAAAGGGACATAACTCAAGACCGGTAAAAGTGACGCAACCCAAATTCGTACTTGGTCTGAGTTTTGTGGTAATAAGCATTGTGTATAAGTTTCAAAACATTTGGTTGAGGCAAACTTAAGTTAGAGAACGGAAACGAAAAAATCAGCATTTTTTTTCCATTTGTAAAGGGGCATAACTCTAGAAAGGTAAAAGTGACGCCACCCAAATTCAAAGTCATGTGATCTGTGTTTTGTGGTAATAAGCATTGTGTATATGTTTCATAACATTTGGTTGAGGCAAACTTAAGTTAGAGAACGGAAACAATTTTCGGGACGTACGGACGGACGAACGGACGGACAAGGGTAAAACTTAATGCCCTACGGCGGGGGCATAAAAATACTTACTGAAATATTTTATTGATAAGTGGGTTGACAAAAACCTTAAGTAACAAAAATGTATGAATTACATTTTGTACCAATTTTAAGATACTTCATCGGTTTTTCCATCCATGGACTTTAGAAAGGCGTTTTACAAAATGTGTAATCAGGATATGTTCACCCTGGACCTACAAACATTACTTAACATATTTTAATATTGACTGATACGCACAAGTGGGTTGACAAATACGTCCTTAAGTAACAAAATGTATTAGTTACACTTTCACCAATTTTAACTTACACAAAATGTACTTCTATCGGTTTTTCCATCCATGAGTGGACATTAGAAAGGCGTTTATAAACCGGATAATTATTTTCACACTGGACTAGGTGTTTTCTAATAATCTGTGTAAAATTGTTTTGTTCAAGGTTTATAGTCTTGTGTTAATTGGTCTTTTTTAACTTGCTATTGTCTGTGCGGCTTTGTTTTTGTAGATGCTAAATGATACTTTTCCATATGCTTACTAGTCCAGTACAACCGATATCATCATGGTAGGTTGTACGTCGCAATATTTGTTAAGCGCTCATTATTCTTTTGCGATAGACTGTGGATTCATTTATTTCCATGGGTAAAAACTTTCATGAATTATGGAAAGATTGTATTTTCGCTTATACTTGATTCCGTTATTTGGCCATAAGCAAAAATGGAATTGGTACTTTGTTGAATACATACATTCTTGGTTTACATATTCCTACGAAATCCACTAAAGTTGGTACTTCACAAATAATAATGAATCCATTATAATAGTACTTTTTATTGTTTGCTCTTTCATCTAGAACCAATGTGCTTCTTATTTTCATTGTTGATAAATGCAATCATTCTCTGGACTGAATTGAGATGTTCACAGTCAAACCTCTATAAGACGAAAGGACCAAACAAAATCATTCGACTTATCCGAGATTCGAGCCATCCTGGTCGAAAGTTAGAGCATTGGTGTCAGCAAATCGTCAGCCTGTTGTGTATATAATACTTGGACTCATCCGAGTTTTCGACACGACCGAGTTCGACACAACGAGGTTCTGTTGTAGTTCTTCTTTAAATCGTCTGAGATTTATTCTGCATGGTATGTTATATCTGATCCAACAGACACATTGCCATCAATACATGGAAAGTGCAAACGGAGAAATGGTTGATCGGTGTATTCCCTGTTAGTGTTGTTTTAGGCGCACACCCCAACTGTATTATCGCAACGCAAATTGTCCATTTACAGTTAACTCTCGTTGTGTCGAACTCGGTTGACTCGAAATTTTGGATGAGTTGAAATTTTTCAGTGGTCCCGAACTTTGTTCCATTTAAATATATATATTTTAACTCGTTTTCGGAAGTCTCGAATTAAATTTACGGTCCCAAGGATAATCACAGCATTTAAAATGCATTCTATATGTCGAACCCAATACACATATGTCAAAACATTACCTCGGGGATTTAAATTGATTGCATGTTGTAAACTTTTTGTAAAGCAACGAAAAATTTACTCACCATTCATTTTGTTCATTTTGTTCAATTGTTCTTTATGAAATCTAAATGCATCCTCTTACTTTATTCCTTCTGCGAGTAATAGAAAGGGACAAACACAAAATGTGAACATTTAAAAATAAGGTCTCGGTGTCTATTGTTACCGCTGTGAATTCCCACATCTACAAATATATGTATGGTCGGTGATATCTGAGCTGTTTGTCCAATGATAATCTGTTATGCTGAACCCGGAAGATTAAGGTTTTTCGTCACATGTTTACAGGTGGAATATAAATGTATAAATAAAACACATATATATAGAGAATGAAAACATGGGTTGGGGTATCATTTCAGTGGCGGATCCAAGGGGGTTCCGAGGGTTGGAACCCCCCTTTTTTTGACGTTCAATGCTTTTGAATGGGTACATATGGTTGGACCCCCCACCATTTATCCTGGGTTGGAACCCCCCCCCCCCCCCCCCCCCCCCCCCCCTTTAAAAATGACTGGATCCGCCCCTGCATTTTGACAAAGTCCAGACAGATACATAAAACTGTAGTCCGGTAGTATCATAATGGATTTTCAACATAATGTAAATGTAATCGAATACATTTACATAATAAACGTCTAGTGTTACTTGATTCTATTTTACAGTGAAATTGAAGCATTTAGCAACAACAAAAAAATACAACTTTTAACAAAGTTAAATTGTAAATATCTTTAAACTTGTAAGTTTTGTTATGAACGTACGGGTTCATCGGTTAAGCATATTAGATAATTCAATTATTGATATGATATTTACAGTAAAGAAGTGCTTAACATACAAATGATGTGTATATGAATTTGAATGGCTTTTTGTCTGAACCCAGGTTAAGAACTTGATCAAAAGTTGTCCAAGTTATACAAAATTATTATTTGAATTTTTAACGCAAAGTATTTGAACAAAATTAAATTCAGATCTACATGTATATAGTCATTTAAACTCAACAAACTATACATAAGATTGTGACAAATACAAAAAAAAACAAAATTTACAATGCCACTCATAAAATTTATAAAACACATGATCAAATAAATAAATCGAGAGGCTCCCTTTAGCCTGTCCTCAGACTGTTCTAACTCGTTTTTTTAAGGAACCAAGATATTTACTTGAAATGGTTAAAAAAAAGTTTAAATTTTCATTTTATGATTGATCAATACACAAAACACAAAAAGGATAACAGAAATCTCCCCAAAATATTGGACAGCACAATCTTGAGTCCACACCTTTAATATTTACCTGTAGAAGACAAACAAAAAAGAACAACACATGATCAAAATATTGTGGAAATTACTTGCATGTAAATTAAGATTAATTTTCTTTTTAATTATTAAAAATATATTTCTAATTTTTCAATAATTTTATAGTTTAATATAAAGTTTCTTTGTCCCTCTAATAACTTACAGCGATTTCTCTGGCATTATTAAATGTCTTCCATTTTTCTATTTCAAAGTTGACTGTTTTACATTGTGTTCAGCAGAATTTCTCTAATTCTGTATGCATTTAAACAGGTTCGGACCAGTTTAATAAACATTGGTAAACCACACGTTGGATAAATTTGTCTCGTGGTATTTCCCGCCATTTTAGAACGACTGGAAAACAGCTAAATTCCTGACTTGGTAAAGGCATTTTCCGAAAAATAATGGTGGTTAAATCTGGGTGTAAATATAGCTAGCAAAACCTTGTATTGTATGACAGTTATATATATTTCCAATATATTGACACAATTGCGTCACTAGTATAAACAGACATAATTGGTAAACGTATCAATGATCGGGATCCAGCAGGAACAATTGTGTAAATATACATCGTTAATATACAAGATAACTGACTTAAAACTGACTTAAAACCTACTGCGTCAATATACTTTCCCCTACTTTCAAGGATTTGATTTCGCGCTATATAAGGAAAGATATGTGTGGAAGTATTTTTCCTCAGAGGTATAAATTCCAGTGTAGTTTTATTAAAAAATCAAATTCATTGCACGCCATTTTATCGGAAATAATATTCGGCGATTTGCATAGCTTTTAATAATTTCCGTGATACTAGGAGATACATTGTAACATCGAATAGTTAAACAGATACCCAGGGGCGAATCCAGGATTTTATGTTAGGGGGACGCAAACTTATCGAAATATTCTTTATTAAGCTGAGTTCAACCCATGCCTTGCAAATTTTAGGGGGGACGCGCACGCCAGCCACGCCCCGCCTGAATCCGCCCCTGATACCAGACTTTACCTTGACCGAACATCTTACTTGCACATCCCTCTTTCAAACTAAAGTTTGACTTCGACAAGGAACTACATTTTGCTCATTATTTTAGCTTCTAATTTCATTCCCCTCCTAGCTTCTAATCATATCAGATCCACGAATTATCTATTATGATTACATCAGTGCAGATGTGTAATAATGGAGTTCAGAAACTCTAAAAGCTTAAGGAGAAATACATTACGAGCTATACATTTTTAAACGTTATTTGGTCTCTGGGTTGAGTGTTGTCTCATTGTCAATCATACCACATCTTCTTATTTTTATATATATTATATATTTGGACTTTTCCGGAAATCACACAAGATGCATTCTAAACTCCTACACGTAGACTGAAATAACTATACATGTATATATACCTGTACTTATAACGTACTATTAAAGACAGATAAACTTGTCTATATCAAATAATCAGTACACAGTCCACCATTATGTAAACAAAGTACACATATACCCCTTTCAACTAACAAATAAAACTAAAAATGGACAGTTTTTTCTCATGGATAAATTTAACCGAACATATTGTTTTTACGTTAGTAATTGTAATTCTTATAAACATTTATCTTAAGAATGGCAAAGAGGAATTTTTTCGTGTCCTTGTCGTAGGATTGAAGGCTCTCCCTGGAGTAAAATCATTGATTGGAAAGGTTCTGCATAATGAAGTGACAAGTTTTGTTAGTACAACTGCTTTAGCTAAGAAAAACGAAGGAAAAGAATCTGTTCAGAGAGTGCAACTACCTAAAGAAGGTAATTAATCCAGTTTACAATGCTTGAAGTTTTAATTAAATTAATTGAAGTTAAGTTATCTCCCTTTGAATATTATAGTTAGACTAAACATGTTGTGACTGTCAATGTAAGTTTACAACAAAGTAATCATCAAAGAGGAGAGAGGTAAAGGAGGGGGGGGGGGGGGGGTATCTGCACGGAAGAAGGCGAAATAAAATTGCCATTTCACGATGAACGAACAATTTAAAATTTCTTTCACGTTTATCTTATTACCGATTTCACGAAACACGGTGAATAACGAACCTTTTTCACGGCTGCACGTGAAATAAAAATGACAAAACACGTTGCACGAAAATAACCCTTTTCTACCCTCATCAAAAAAAGAGGAATGAAATGCAGTATATTCTGTAAAGTGTACTTTAAATTTTTTTTTTACATGTTTTTGATATATTGATTTGATTTGTTTAATGCCCAGTTACAAATAGTTCATGCATATTGAGGAATAGAACAAATTACCGATAGGAAATGCAGGCATCACTTCTTTCCCATTTGACAGGGATGTGATGAATGTGGATTGAACGCTGGAAGAAGAGCGAATGAATGATAAAGATTTCCCCCATTGCAACAGTCCACCTAAGGATCTGTAAATGATTTGTTACAAGGGTTCCTTAATGCACATACACCATAATTAACACTCTCCCACCACATGTCATCCGACTTGACACATCATTCTGACCGGACATAACACAACCAAACAAATGTCCTTATCATACATGTAGTTCTTTTTGTACGACGGGAAGTCCAAGTAACCATATTTTTTTACATAATAGTCATCATTCGGGTGACATGTTTTGCACAAGAAATAGTCATGCTGTTTTAGAATATTAATATGTAAACAACTGAATATTTACAAATGTGAGTGCTTTTTTTTTTTTGGAGGGGAGTGGAGCTGGTCAATTGTACTTTTTTGGAGGGGGAGTGGAGCTGGTCAATTGTACTTTTTGTCATTGTTAGAATATTAAATAAGATACTGTACATATTTCAGGAATTTCTTCTGAAGAACTTCGAAATGAAATGAACATATTAAAGTCTGCTGAGGCTGAGTCAGCAAAAGAAGGGAAAATATTTGCATACGTATATACCGTCATAGATCAACATTGGAAATTACAGTCAGAGGCATTTGATAAATTTGAAGGTACTATTTATGAATAATGCCATTATTATGCATTATAAATGTTTAGTGGAAAATATCCGATGCATATCAGTCGGTGGCATTTGATAAATTTGAAAATAAAAAATGTACCTTTTAAAGATAATGTCAATTATCTATATATGCAATGTAAAGTAATATCTAGTGGAAAATATAACATGCATATCAGTCCTAGGAATTTGATAAATTTGAAGGTACATGTACCTTTGAAAATAATGTCAGTTGTGTATCATATACGTCCAGTGGCAAATAGTTCATCCAAAACAGTCTGAGGAACATGACAAGTTTGAAGGTAAATAATATAACTAATGTCAGCATTATGCATAAAATAATGTCTAGTGGCAAATATTACATGCATTCCTGGACGAGAACTTGTTTATGTGAAATTACTGTGAACCTTTCTTTGTACTTCACTGACATGCTGTTTTGGGATTTATAACGTGCTTGTTCACAAGAAGGCATTTGATACATGTAGGTTCAATATAAAAATAAGGAGATGTGGTACATGTATGATTGTCAATGAGACAACTATCCACCAAAGTGCAAATGAAGTGGAGGTAAGCAATTATAGGCAACCGTACGGCTTTTAACAATGAGAAAACCCATACCGTAAAGTCGGCCATAAAATGTCCCGACATGAAAAATATGAAACAATTCAATTGAGAAACTAACGGCCTAGTGTATAACAAAACAATTACGAAAAACAAATATGATAGACATGAACCAACGACAACCACTGAACTACATGGGTTCCTGAAATTTTTGTCCCTAACGTAAATAAATGTCCGGCAGACAATATTTCAGCTATTTCAATACAAGAGATTAGAACTAACCGTAAATCATGAACATTTCTGTAAAAATTAAGATACTTTTCCCCCATTTTTTGAGAAAAGAGTCGATGCTACCTTTATTAATGTTTCTCCAAATGACAGCCACGTCGAGATTCCTAACTAAGGACATGCTCATTAATCAGTGGTTTGAAATCTAACCCTCACTTAAGGTTTGAGGTAATTGTAGTTATGTTTTGAAAGATAGATACGTTTGCAAAGATTAAGTAACGCTTGCTGTACCCTATCATCCTCCATTAGCATATAAATGTGTTTTTTTTTTTAGTTTGCATCGGATTCATAGGGTTTTGCATTTAATCTTACATTAAAAGTAAAATAACAAAAATACCGAACTCCAAGGAAAATTCAAATCGGAAAGAACATTATCAAATGGCAAAATCAATTTTACACATCAAACGAATGAAAAACAACTGTCATATTCCTGACTTGGTACTGGCATTTCCTTATGTAGAAAATGGTGGATTAAACCTGGTTTTATAGCTAGCTCAACCTCTCACTTGTATGACAGTCGTATAAAATTTCATTATATTGACAACAATGTGTGAACAAAACAAACAGACGTATTGCTGTGTGTTTCTTTATTCTACATTGGCTAGAGGTATAGGGGGAGGGTTGAGATCTCACAAAACATGTTTAACGCCGCCGCATTTTGGCGCATTTTTTGTCCCAAGTCAGGAGCCGCTGGTCATTGTTAGTCTTGTATGTTTTTTAATTTTAGTTCATTTATATGTTTTGGAGTTTAGTATGACGTCCATTTTCACTGAACTAGTACACATTTTTATTTAGGGACCAGCTGAGGCCCACCTCGGGGTGCGGGATTTTCTCGCTTCATTGGAGACCCATTGGTGGCCTTCGGCTGTTATCTGCTCTTTGGTCGGGTTGTTGTCTCTTTGACATATTCCCCATTTCCATTCTCAATTTTATAATAGGTAAAAATGTCAAAAATAGAGGTACAGCAGTCAACATCGTGTTATAATCTTAATCACTACAAAACAAACAAATATATCAACAAAGAAAAACAAAATGGCATATACACAAAGCACATAAGCAAAAATGAAAGACAAGAATACAAAAAATGATCACAGCACAATAACACATTGGCGGGATGCATAAGTATACCGAGCCACGCCTAAAGGATATTACCAAAAATGGACTAATCAGTAAAGGATAATAATTTACAGAGACAAATAAAAGAACACTATAATCACGGTATGTATAGTGTCCGGCTAGGAGCGTGGTTTTTCGAGTGATTTGATCGGGTTTTTTTCGAGTGGGACCACTTTTTTTCGAGTGAATATGAACAAAAATGTAAAAAACAGACTTCCTTTCTAACAAGACGTGATATAGACGCTTGAGTTTAATAAAACAAGGTTATACAATGTATGTTAGTATTTGATATAAAAAGATATTATTAATCCGACATTATTTTTCGTTAAAAAAGTTAAAATTAGCCTTAAAATACTTTTATTCCAAAATACAGAATAAAGCCATTTTTATACACATACCAATGCAAATGTCGAAGGAAATGCATACATGGAATCTATATATCCTTAGAAATACAGACACTTTACAAAAATTCTTGTTATTGCATTGAAAACGACATTTTGAGACTAAATTCATTTCTTTATGTTCGGTTTTTTTCGAGAGCAGTCCGGGCTTTTTCGAGTGCGTCCGTTTTTTTTCGAGTGATTATACAAATTTCCTATAGCTTAAAATGTTATGTGTCAGTGTATTTACGTTTAAAAACAATAAACAAAGGTTTAAAGTTAGTACATTTCAAGGCATGAAACCAATGCATTCGTCAGTTTGAAAATGGTGTACTAACACTTACATGTTATAAACAAGTATCGTACGTCATTTCTATATATTGTAGTTTGTCATATCTTATAAATTACATGCACAGTATATATTCGTGATGTCAACAATATAATGTAGCATAGCTTATTTTGATTGAGACGTACATACAGATAGTGTGTTAAGCTGATGAACTATTCATTTCATTGTTAATTATGCATGAAGGCCTCCTTTAGTAGAATATGTTTTATTACATAGCATTTTTCTGATTCCTCACTGCTGTCTAGTAGGTTTCTTACTCCTTTTTATAAAAACCCCGGGGTTCACCACTAAAAATATTGTTAACTGTAAAAACAAAAGTAGCATGGAATGAAGTTGATGAGATTATGAGTCCCCTGCACTATGTTTTAAAGACCGTTTCATAAAGGATCCAATAATTTCTAATTTAACACTGCAGAGTTGTGGTACGTTTTCCGAACAGAAAATTTGCATTAAATTGAAAAAGGTTAATTTTGATCCACGTTGTATTACACGCCAGTTTTATTTTTATATTTAATAGTTCGATTTCTGAAGCAAGTGTTAATTGAATAGATCTATTGTTAGGAATAACAGTGGATTTCGACCACAAGGTGTGACGAGCGGGGTTATAAATATTGCATTATCTTCAGTCTCTTCTGCCAAATCCAACGAATGACTCAAAATGTCGTCCGTCTTATACCGGTCCATATTGACAACTGCATATCATGAGTATGATATATTGCTTTTTATATTATAAGAATGCACGATACGGCCAACCTTGCCCTGCTGATCCATATTAGCACATGGAAATAACGGGAATATGAAAAACGTCAACTTTGACTTTTGTAACATCTACCCACTTGTGAAAGTTTGAATAAAGATGTCATAGTAAGGTTACTAGTGGGGTTTCATTTAAAAAAAAAATTAAAATTCTTATTAATCATGATTTGATACTGTCATGTCAATACAAATGCTATCCATTCTTTTTCATTTAATATTCAATATAAACAAATAAAGGGTTTAGCATCGGGTGTAAGATAGTTATACGCTTCGGGGTACGGTGTGTCTTGATGTGAAACCCCTCCGGCCTCCGTCCGTCGGGGTTTCTTATCCAGACACACCTATCCCTCAGTGTATAACTATTTCATATGTTTTGGTGATTTATTGGGAATATATGACTTTGTTCCTCACTTAATTACAGTTATAAACTAGAAACAGTCATTTTTTTAAAGTCAAGAATACCTTTTTTCTTATTCAAATTTTCATTTAAAAACCCGGACAATCTGTTTAAAAACCCGGATGGTTTCACTGTTGCTCTCGAAAAAAAACCGGACAATATTAAAAACTGATTGTTTTAGTTAAATACAAGGAAATTGGGCTTTTTTGTTGCTCAAAACATGTATAGTATTCAAAATAAGATGGGTAGTCATGTAAAAAGCTATTATAATTACGAAATAATAGGTAATTAACCTTAATGCATGTTTTCTCACTCGAAAAAATCCGATCTACACTCGAAAAAAATGGACAGATTCACTCGAAAAACCACGATCCTAGCCGGACACTATACCTACCGTGATAATACGTAATTAAGATGATAAATATAGCGTTTTTCGTCATTGAACAGTGTACACTTCAAGTACTACTCTGTCTACACCCCATTTTAATAAGTCATTTCATGAATTCTGAATTAACAATAAACAATTTGATATGGGGTACTTTACTTTTGACCCAGTATGCACTTGTCACTGCAATGTATTATAGTTCTTCTTATAAGTTTTAACAATAACAATATATCTAGCTTTGCACGCGACTCATATAACAGCTATGTAAAGGATTAAAATATTTTATTCATATACAAACTAAATATAACATGCAAAGAAACGGAAGAAAATAAACTCTCACCGCAACTCATGATCAGCATCAAAGCAATTGTACTCACATTAAAGGGATGTAACTCTTACTAAAATGTCATTTCATTCAATGTGGGTCTCATTGGGGTCTAAGCGTGACGCGGGATTGCCGATTTTTTATAAGCGTGACACGTGAAAGTCAAATTATTGTGCCGTGAAAACGGGAAATGAAGTCTAGCGGGATACGGGAAATTACAAAAAAATGAGAATTGCTTACGTACATAGTGTAAGCGGGATACGGGAATCTGTCAAAACAGTAAGCGGGATCCGGGATCAGAACTCCCCAATGAGACCCCCTTCAATATGTCGTGTATTTCTAAATACCAAGGTCGTACAAGTATCCTTATTTCTATATTTATTACAGAAAAAATCGGTCACTCTTTAGAACATGACACCATTGTAGCTGAATTCCTTCATGCGTTCCTACATGAGAATGCACTAAATCCTATGGTATTTCCTAGTCTCAGGTAAGCAGGTATTGTTGAACAATATTGTACAGTTAAAGTAATCAACAAAAGTCAGATTTAGTAAAAAAGGAAACAAGTTAGAAAATCCTTCAACATTGTCATAGTGAGACAGATTATTATTTTTGACATCCATAAATCCAAATGGAGTGAAGATTTCGGTCGAAATAACAACAATAAATTTTTACATGTCGTTCAATTTAGCTTCAATCAATTGTTAAATTCTTATAAATCATGAATCGATGAATTTTGTAAAAAAAAAGAGTAGCGATATAAACCTTATCAAATTGTATTTTCTCTCTTTATGATAGAAAAATGGAAACGGAAATTGTAAGCATGACAGCAGACATGTTGAATGGAGATCAGGATGTTGTTGGATTTGTTACTTCCGGTGGAACAGAAAGCAACTTAATGGCTGTTAAAACTTACCGCGATATGGCACGAAAAAGTAGACCTAATATTAGAGTACCAGAAATAGTGAGTTATCAGCTACTTAAAAAGTTTGTTCATTTCTACCTATGTGTCTCCATGATCACGCTTTGACAACCAACGATCGTCAAATATAGTTTAATACTTCATATACTAGTATAGAGTAGTATAGTTGCTGGTTTTTTTTTTACATTGATGGCTCAAGCATATGGTAAAATAAATATAATCTCTTTAACCAGTTTGATCAAAAGACCCGAGAATGTGTACAAATGTGAACCAAAACATTGTGATTGTTAAACTACGTCCTGAACAATGGGAATTCAGCCAAAAAATGGATTTTTTTAGAAACGAACTATACATTTACTAAATGTTCTTTAGACTCTAAAACAGAAATTCGTAAGGACCATTTTACAGGCAATAAAAATGAAACCGTGATTATTTTTTTTATAATTTAGATAGCACCAATTACCGTCCATCCAACGATTGATAAAGCAGCCCATTATTTTGGTTTGAAAGTGATCCATACACCAGTCGGAGATGATTTCCGTGCTGATGTACAAGCCATGAAAGAGGTCAGGAAAATGTGTCAGAAATTATATTATATAGTGGAGAAAAGATTTGAGATATCATTATTTTCTATAAATATATGTATCAATCATTTATTGACACTTAATAAATTCTGATGAATATTGTATGAATATAACGTTAATACATAGAGACAATATCTCGTAAACAATCTATTACATGTATTGCGTTTTATGGTTGAAAAACAAAACCACACATACGGAATGTATAAAATGATACGCTTAAATGGTTTAAGCTAGGTAACTTCGAACATTGAACCTTAACTTACTGAAGACAATTTGTAGAATTCACAAGCATATGCTTACTTCCGAAAAGGAAAATAACGGTAAAGTTGGTGTATGTGTGTTTGCTGGTGGGGAGCGTGTGGTATTGGGGTAACAATACTTCTAATTTTCTAATTACAATTATCTAATATTTTTAATGGAAAAAGTTAACCAAAGTAAAAAAATGTCGCTAAATGAAATAGAAGACCAACTCACAAGTAATCAAACTCTATGAGTAATTACAAATGTAAAATACCGCGGTAATAATGAAAGATAATATGCAGAATGTGCAATGAAGAATTTTTTGAAATAGCATTTTGTTTGACTACAGTCTTAATTATCAAGAACTGGTAGTTTTCCTGCCGACGATCAGTTGTTCTTTCTGCAGACTCCGGCTTCCTCGAACAATAAGTAATGGCATAAATGATATAGCTACGGTCGTTAAAAGTGGCGTGAAACGCAAACAAACAAACAACCAGTTAATTACTTGTAGTATGTAATGTTTTAACCAGGCTATAAACAAGAACAAGTAGCCTTTAACACACACAAACAAACAAACAACCAGTTAATTACTTGTAGTATTTAATGTTGTAACCAGGCTATAAACGAGAACAAGTAGCCTTTAACACAAACAAACAAACAAACAACCAGTTGATTACTTGTAGTATTTAATGTTTTAACCAGGATATAAACAAGAACAAGTAGCCTTTAACACAAACAAACAAACAAACAAACAAACAACCAGTTAATTACTTGTAGTATTTAATGTTTTAACCAGGATATAAACGAGAACAAGTAGCCTTTAACACAAACAAACAAACAAACAAACAAACACACAACCAGGTAATTACTTGTAGTATTTTAATGTTTTAACCAGGCTATAAACGAGAACAAGTAGCCTTTAACACAAACAAACAAACAAACAAACAACCAGTAATTACTTGTAGTATTTTAATGTTTTAACCAGGCTATAAACGAGAACAAGTAGCCTTTAACACACACACACAAACAAACAAACAAACAACCAGTTAATTACTTGTAGTATTTAATGTTTAAACCAGGCTATAAACAAGAACAAGTAGCCTTTAACACAAACAAACAAACACACAACCAGTTAATTACTTGTAATATTTAATGTTTTAACCAGGATATAAACGAGAACAAGTAGCCTTTAACACTAACAAACAAACAAACAAACAACCAGTTAATTACTTGTAGTATTTAATGTTTTAACCAGGCTATAAACGAGAACAAGTAGCCTTTAACACAAACAAACAAACAAACTACCAATGAATTAGTATTCAATACTTTAACCAGGCTATAAACGAGAACACTGTGATGTTAGTCGCCTCTGCACCTCAGTTCTGTCACGGTATTATTGACCCAATCAAAGAGTTATCGGACTTAGCTGTAGCCAAGGGTTTGCCATTACATGTGGATGGCTGTTTTGGTGGATTCATGCTTCCATGGTGTGTATAATTTGATCAAATATATATTGAAGGATATTTTCAAATTAGTTTAATATGCTGAAATAATGTATATCTATGAGATAAGCTTCACAATTTTACTTAACATAGAAAAAAGTAAAACAACAAAAATACCGAACTCCAAGGAAAATTCAAATCCGAAAGTCCCTAATCAAATGGCAAAATCAAAAGCTCAAACACATCAAACGAATGGAAAACAATTGTCATATTCCTTACTTAGTACAGGCATTTTCTTATGTAGAAAATTGTGGATTAAACCTAGTTTTATAGCTAGCTAAACCTCTCACTTGTACGACAGTCGCATAAATTGCCATTACATTGACAACAATGTGTGAACAAAACAAACAGACAGAAAAGGTAAAAACGTCAAAAATAGGGGTACAGCAGTCAACATTGTGTTATAATCTTAATCACTAAAAAAACAAACAATATGTCAACAAAGAAAAACAAACAGGTATGCATGACATGAATGAGGTTCTGGATGAGATTTGCATAATAGAGCATAATGGACATAAGGTGCAGAAAAAGGGCAAAACAAAATTTAATTCCAATGAGTGCAATATTTTTTGCTTATTGTATTTTAACAGGGTAGAAAAACTTGGATACCATATACCACCATTTGACTTCCGGTTACCCGGAGTAACTTCAATATCAGCTGATGTTCATAAATACGGTTATTCAGTAAAGGTATATTTATTAAAGTTTTATTTTAAATAATGTTATATTTCTTTCATACCTAGTGAAATATATTCCTCCATTATTTTTTCCACGAAAGATGCAAAGGTCAGCAATAAAGAATTTTACCGACATAATTTCAATATTATAGAACTCAGTTTCAGTTAAAAACGGTATAGTGACAATGCACATTTTCCTGTCCTTTTGAAATAAATACACTGGTGAAAAAAATCCATGTAGACTTTATTTTCGAAAAAGATATTGATACTTGTGGGAAAAAGTTATATACTATGATTTTGTATTCTGGAATATCTACACATTATTATTTCACGTAGTTCTGTCCTTAAAGAAATTCCATAGCTTATTCAACTTCGATAAATCTTAATGTTTCGAATTGGACAAAAACAACATATTGTTCTATTTAATTATCTAATCATTGTATTGACTGACGATTTCCTCATTTAAATTCGAAAGTTTTCACTGTTAAACTCGTATACAAGATATGAATATAGTACTATAATATATTATAATGTATAGATACCGATTACATGTCTTTCATAGGGATCGAGTGTTATAGTTTACCGAAATGCTGAGATCAGAAAACATCAAATTTATACGTATCCTGAATGGCCAGGCGGATTGTACGGTTCTCCATCGATGGCGGGAACACGAGGAGGTATGCTTGCTAAATCAACAAGGCAGACCTTAAATCTTTCATTTCATACTAACTGATTCAAAGCAAGATTTAGATTTAGAATGATTGAACTCTATAAACTGCGGGTATTGTTAAAAAAAAACATTTTTTATTATTGAGAATTTGATTTTCTGTTTGTTCTTACGATTATTTTGCTTTAATTTTTTTATCTATAGGGGAAAAATATTGTGGCATTTAATATATCATCAAATGGAATAAGATTATCAAGATGATTTTCAATCTTTCAAATAATCTTAAATTTTTCGTTCGTATTAGCTGGTGGATTCAGAAAAGAATATGACCATTCAAGGAGCATAACATGGTAGGAAAATGTACGAATAGCTTTAGACCCGATATATACATGTATGTTCGTCGCCTGGTACGGGGCTATGCCAGCCTTACCAACCGCGACTATCTGCACAAATGGTTCCAAATTTAATGTATTTTTAAACATTACTTTCCGTTGAGTTACACATGATTTTATGCAGCATCTAACTATCTCTCAAGAGATATTCCTTTGTAGGAGGTACTATAGCATCAGCCTGGGTATCCCTGAAAGCTTTGGGTGTGGATGGATTTATGGATAAAGCTAAGGAGCTGATGGATACAACAGAAAAAATGATGAAAGGCGTGAAGGAAATCGAGGTATGTTTGGTATATCGAACTTTTTAGTATTGATTTATACATGTATAATTATGTAATTCACACATGCACTATAAGTTTGCATATTGTTAATATGCTTATGTTATCTGTAACATTTGTTTATGAGAGTAAAGTATTCATTCAAGTATTTATTCATTCAATTATTTATAGTGTATTATTAGTATTCTACCACAGATATGCTGGTAAAAACAAATCAATTACCAGAACACAGATTTATAAAAGCAACGATATTTGAATTCATTCTCCGTTTTCGTTTGGTTAGCTGCTTTTCACCTATAGTAAAATATGCATTTTGATATTCTTTGATCTTTGAAATTCCCTCTTATCGTCTTTCAATGAGTATCTTCTCTTGATTTTTTTATTCATACTCTTGTATTCCATAAATATCTTACCGACCATAATCTTATTTTACAGCTAGAAAAAAAAACAGACATTCAGATCTTTAAATAGGAAATGTGTATAAAAGAGCGCTGAAAGATACCAAAGGGACATTCAAACTCATAAATCCAAAATGAATTAACAATAACATGGCAAAAAATAAAAAAGACCAAAAGAAAAACAACAGTACACAAAACACATCATCAAAAACTGAAGACTGAGCAACACGAACCCCACCTAAAGGTGATCTAAGGTGCTCCGGAAGGGTACGTAGATCCTGATCCACATGTGAGTAAATCGATAAACCAAGTGCAGCGATGCAAAACCGCCCACTTGACAGATACATTGATAATATTATTTTCCTTCAATAAACAATTCATCGAAAAGAGCACATACATTAGCCTTTCATAACTGTTTTAAATATCTAAACTGCTTTTAGGGTTTAAAGATAATGGGCGAACCGCATATGACCTCTTTTGCTATAGGACCACGTGATAAAGAATTGGATATATATGCAGTCGCTGATGCGATGGAAACGAAAGGTATATTTCTATCTGGTCTAAACATTACATCAAAGAGTAATGGAGTAAAACGTTATACATATAGGTTGAAAATAAAAGAAACAGAGGATGCAAAACTTAATTTTGACTCTAAATTTGTTACATGTATGTCGGACAAATCGAGACACTTCGTAGGAAAAAATGGTTTTGAGTTGGATGTACATGTATATAAGACTAATCTTATAAATGTTAGGAAATACATGCTACAAATTTATTATTGGGACCTACTATGTGCAGTTCCTTTTCACAGCAAGTCAAAAGTTATATCTTGAAATAATGATGAAACACTAGATTGTCTATCTATGTCGGAATATGGGTATATAAATGTATGAATTCGAGTCGATTGCTTTTTTGTTGGTTGCTTAATTCAGTGCCGAATATTTCATGTATGTTCAGGACGAGAATTCGAGTTGATCCTTTGTATCACTTGTTGTTATCTTCCAAAAGATTATAACCAAAAATAATCAATCATCCGTGACGCATATTAATCTAGAATAATTACTGTATTTGGACTTTATAACAACATAACTCTAAATCTAGGAGACAGAATTTTAAAGATACTTTTCAACTTATTTCATGTATCATATATATATTAATTAACGTCACAGTACCCAAATTGCACCTATTCAGCAAAAATAGCATGGACTAATGTCGAATTGTTCTAAATATTTGAAGAAATAAAACAAGCATATGTTTTTCGATTTTTAAGGATGTGAATTTAAGCATGGATACAATTTGGGTACTCCTCATTACTGACTCATAGGTCGTTTGGAGGGTGGTTCAAACCCATTTTTCTATGGTTCAATATGGATTCAAAATTAAATTGGTGAAACTATATAGTTGACAAGAATACATCTACAAAATAAACACAGATTGGAAACATTTGTCTGTACCATAGATAAACGTAGGTGAAAAAAACTGTCAAAAATAGGTGCAATTTGGGTACCCTCACGTTATGTTTATACTATAACATGATGATCTACACGAAGAATCATTGTTAAAACTAAGTTTAAAATATTTTTCATAAAGGATGGACAATAGAAAGGAACCAGAAACCCAGTTGTATTCATTGTTCTATATTACCACGCCATACTGCTATAGCAGATGATTTCATCCGGGATCTAAAAGACAGCACTGCTGAAGTCAAGGTTTGCCGTTCTTTATTTCTAGTCGTTTGTTGTGGATGGTTTTTGTCTTTTTTATTTGGGGGGGGGGGGGGGGGGGCTTCATTCGATCGATCCTATTACATATCAAATTTTGAACAACTTTATTTCTTTGATTACGTCCCTTTTTGTTAAGGATAATCGAGTGAACCGCACATGACGACGTTTTGATGATCACGAGTTAGATAATTTATCATATGGAGTCTAATGAGATAATGTGAGTCAAAGAACGAGTTCTGCAATCAATCTCAATATTTTTGGTAATTGAAGTTTTTGGGACTCAAATATATCATTTTTTTCTACGCCCTAGAGTATCATGATGACGCCTATGAGTCCCGTTACTTATTGTATATTTGTATATGTATGCATGGGTATATTCTTGTCATTTTATATTTGATGCCGTACCCTGTGTTAGACATGCTTCCGTTCTCTTATAAACATGTAAGAAACTGTGTGTGTGTGTGAAGATATATTTTAGCAATTGAAAATTCGTCAAACATGTACAGACACCGCATAAAAAAATGTCAAAAGAAAAATGAAAATTCATTCAAAAAAAAATCTTACCCCTTCGGTATAATTGAAATGTCAGACGGGGAAATTAAATCTTAGTCTAATGATCCGATACATTTAAAAAACAATACATTAATTATACATCAGAAAATCGCTTCATCATTCAATAATTTTCTTGTACAATGGCACGGCGGTACATCAGTTCTCTGAAATGACAATCATTCTAATAATGTCACACTGTCACGCCAATATAATATTTATTGCTCTATTAGGCGTGATAATTATTGAATCTTTAATTTGATATGTATATTAATATGTATATTCGCACATCAAGTATTATTATTATTATTATTATTATGTGGCAATGTTTTAATTATTTCATATTTTTATACAAATAACTTCGTATTTCAATTTTCAATTTGTTTTTAATGTTCGAAGCTATTAATGATGTTCGCTCTTCTTGTTTTTGACTTTTCGTCTGATATTCGGAATTCTCTACTCTCTTATTTTATCTATGTAGTGCCATTAAGAGGTTTGGTCTCTTACCCCTTCTTTTCTTTTCATAATCTTATTATATATAGTTTAAAAAGCTATATTTTGAAGTTTTATAAACTCCTTCTTATTTTCTTATAGCTTTTGAAAGAAATAAAATGTCAATGTTAAACGTATTAAAAGTCTAGAGAGAATAATTTCCAGCCAAGTTTTCAAAGGCTTATATCCGAAAACAAGGACACAGACCCTTCATTTTTTCTGCTTTATTAGTTCTGTTATTTTTATACTATCAATTTATAATAGTCTTTAAAACGGCTTGTTAATTTGAAACAAAGAAGCGACCGTCCTTAATTGATTAAAAGGTTGGCTTTCTTTATTTCTAATAACAATAAAAAGTGAAACGTATTGGAATAAGTGACTGTATTTATTTGACCTGATTTATTCCTTTTCCTACCACTGAAACCAGGTTGAAAGAACTTGGATTTCGTTATCAGATATATTTACACTATTTTTTATTTTCTTTCTTAACCAAATATATATATAAATGAGGGACTGGATGGGGTTTACAGAATAGAGAATCATGGACTTATACTACAGAAAAATGGCAAAAAAAATACAGAAAAATAGGACTAAAAGATCAAGAACAGAGAATAACGGGGTGTCAAAATATAAGAAATAGAGAATAATGGGCAAAATAAATAAAGAATAAGAGATAAAAGGCTTGAAAATTAAAGAATACAGAATTGCGTAAAAGAATGACTGTTTGTTTAAGAGAAGAGGTGTTTTTTTTTTTCGTCCGTTTAACTGACTAGTTATACTAAAAATAATTGGTCGATCATAACAATGTCTCAGTTTCTCACCTGACAAATGACATTCATAATTTGTTCAGTCGCTTTCAATAATTGTTCGATCATAACAATGTCTCAGATTCTCGTCTGACAAATGACATTCATTACTTCGTCAAAGTTCAAACATGTCTACTGATGTCAATCAGACAGATAGTTTTTAGGTATGTTCCTCGTAGACGGCGTGCATATAGCTGAGACTACAAACGTAACGTCTTCAAAATACTTAAATCATTTACGACGTCGACATTTTTTCCTCAGAAAACAAACGCGTAACAAAAACACTGGACACTTAGTTTATCACATAACTTTAAACATAAACGTTAAACATATTTCTTTATTTTTCGAACAACAAAGTGCAGCAAATACACATTCCGGAAATATAAATAAATATATGCTAAGAGCAGTCTAACGGAAACAATAAGCGACTATGTCGTGTACCCTATTCAGAAAATAGCGTTTAAACGTCATTTCTTTAAATTGTAACATAATAGCTGGACATTTAAAATTTTCAGGTGTTCAGCCTGGACTATCGAATCATTCATATTTTACAGATTTTTTTAAACCTCTTGTTATGCACATATGGGATATCAAGTTATTTCGAAATTAAAAAATAGCAATTTCATATTTTTCTGACCGATTCTTACATTTTCGAATATTAATCCTTCCAAATTACTACTTCTTACACATAACGAACTACATTCCAAACTCATCTTCCATGGCCGTTTTTGAATTTTGTTGCATTGAATTTCGTCTGACGTAATAGTCCGAATCCGAAAAATTCTATTATAAGAAAATGCGGGAAAATATGTTGAATTTGTATAAATTTTAGGTCAAAAACTATATTTTATGCTTATTCAGTGTTACAAGTTTCACATATTTTTGCCGTTTTCTCTATGGTTGTTTCATACTTTATAGATTTAATTTTGATAACCTTACTAGTAATGTGGATTTTAATGGCTAGCATTCAATATTTTATCATAAAAAAAACTTCCTATTCAAAAGATATTTTAAACACAGCTGTATAAGACTACTTTTAAAAGCGCATTTTACAGTTGCCGTCAACTTTGTGCACGCCGTCCGTACTTATATTTACTGCTGTCCATGCATTTGCAATTGTCTAGATGTTTATTAATTTGGTCTTCCAGATAACGAGAGTCTTAGCACCGGAAATGTGCATGACAGAGCAGACTCCAGCGATATTTCGTATCTCTAACGAGCCTTATCCTAGTAGTAGATTACATTCATAGTCTTGCATTTTATTTTTTAAAATTTATATGCCCCCGCAGTAGACAAAAGGAGCATTAAGTGTTACCCTTGACCGTCCGTCTTTCCGTCTTTCCGTTCGTCCCATTTTGGTTGCCTCACTCTAACTTAAGTATTCCTCATCCAAATTTTATGAAACTCATACACACTGCTGAGAACAAATACTTATTATTCGCAGTCAGAATTCGAATGTAGTCAATGAGTCACTTACGGTTCTAGAGTTATGCCACTTTTTAGTTAGGAAAATTACAAAATTTGAGCGGGGTCATTCGTGTCCTCAGACACAATTTTTTATTTTCTCATCCTATAAAGTTCAAAATTAAAGCATTGAATTAGCCAATATTTAAACATCGTGCATGTCCCGCTCAGGAGGTTGGGTCCATATACTAGTTAACCACTTTTGAACTAAAACGTTTAAGTGAACAGCCCTTTAAAGAATCGACAATAACTTGTTAGGTCTTTTCCGGTTATTCTGTCAATGGTCAGACTTACCCACTACGGTAAATTCAGCTATGTTTATACTATTTGCTTGCAGTCAATTAAGACCTGGTAAACGTATTGAATTGTTTTAAAAGCAACTGAACAGTTCTTGATTGACTGCAAGAAAATAATTGATAAAAAACCTTTTTTGCTAAACAAAACTTACCGTTTTTACGTTTTAACTTTTCAGATGATGTTTAGATCAGAATGGACGAATCAGACTACAATTCATTTACTATATATATAAACATATGTATATCTACCATTCGATAGTCAACTATCAACCATGCAATAGTTAGGTCCATAGCTGCCAGACATAAGTGAATTAATAATAGGGTGTGAAATTAACTTTCAATAGATGTACTACCTTTATTCATATTAACTAAATTTTATATAAGCAGCTAAGATATATATATTTTATTAGGATAAAAATGAAAATAACGAGAATGTTAACAGTAAAATTTTGCGCATGTGTCAAACATATTTTGTGCTAATTAGAACACGGCTTTGTTTAAAAAGCGAAATAAGGACATATTAGAATAACTATTTCTGTATTGTAGGAGAACAAGACTCTTGCTAAGAAGGGTACTGCGGCAATGTATGGAATGATTGGGACGATCCCTGACAAAACCATTGTTTCGGATTTCCTTGTAGAGTTCTTTAGTGAAGTTTATAAATGATATATTTGTGAGATCAAACTAGTATATCAGAACAAGTGTTTTGTGGAACTGACGGAAAGTACTGAGACGAAGATGCAGATTAGATTGAAGTTTCATTCTGTCGTCTGTTTTATATGAAAGAACTACTTAATAAATTTGTAAAAATGCTTACTAGTAATTATGAATGGTAAAAAGTAAATCAACAAAAATACCGAACTCTAAGTAAAATTCAAAACGGAAAGTCCCTTATCAAGTGGCAAAATCTAAAGCTCAAGCACATCAAACAATTGGAAAACAACTGTCATATTCCTGACTTGTTACAGACATTTCCTTATGTAGAAAATGGTGGATTTAACCTAGTTTTATAGCTAACTAAACCTCTCCCTTGTATGACATTCGAAAAAAAAATCCATTATGTTGACAACAATGTGTGAGCAAAACAAACAGACTTTATTTAAATAACATTAACAGTACCAATTGTTTTGCACCAGATGCGTATTTCGATATTTAATGTCTCTTCAGTGATGCTCAAGGCAAAAATATTTAAAAGTCTTAAACCCCCAAAAGAAATATTGAAGAGCTGACAAATTTAAGATGGATCAAAAGTGAAACCAAGCCCGGACAAGAAATACGAGGGAAAGCATTTCTTAATTAACATGATTAATAATGATCTCGAATTACTAAAGTCTCTTTTTTATCTTATGTGTAGCATTAAAGTATATGCAAATAAGTTTGCAAGTATATTTTGTATTTATATAGTACGTGTTTTAGTAATTGAAAAAAATTGTCGTGTCATTTTGAAAGAGTCAGTTAATGTACAATTTGTCTCTTTGAATACATGCGATTTTTCCTTCATTTTTTCTAGATTTGTGACTTAAATTTATGGCCAATTTGTTAGTATTTGTTTTCGAGTTTTAAACTTTAAAATTTCTAATGTATACACTGATCTAGATACTAGGTTCATAATTAAAGACTCCACACGCGCGTTTTGTTTGAATAAGACTTGTCATAGATGCCCGAATCGAATCAGTTGGATAGCCAGTTCAATACCCAAGTTGAAGAGCATTGCAAACCAAAAATTCAAAATTTATTGTGCCAAATCAACCTAAGTATATGTATTCCTGGGGAGTAGAAAAACCTTTGTGTACACTAGTTATCAAAATTCAGAATTGTTTACTCCTGTGTATTGCAATCCACCTAATAAACCACTAAGTCAATCTAGAAGTTAACTACCATTTCAATCCAGATATTTCAAAATGGTATCCCAAACCTGGCTAAAACTATCATTCCTGGCGGTAGAAAAAAACTTTGTGAAGTCTAGTCATTATACAAATTCAAAATGATTTAACTCCCTTGTATTGCACCAACAGTATAAACCACTAGACTTTTTAATTACCCGAATATGACAATATCACTGCATACATATTAATTGTTATGAAAGCTTTTGTTCTAATGCTGGTTTATTATCCTTGTGACATTTTTATATTTACGAAAATGGCATACCATAAATTATTTGATTGACAAATTTGTGTATAAGTAAAATTGATTGCTATTCTTTTTAAATAGAGATGTCATTTTGTTATAAGGGATCTTTTGTAAATGCATAATATTTTTAAGTGTTGATTATTTTGAATCGAAGTTTTGAAAAAAAATGCGGAGGTGTGACTTTTTTTAATAGTTTATTTAAAGTGAATTCTTCGTTTTATATTAACTAAATTTTAACAAACATGTCTATTTCATTAAATCAACATAATTAACTTGGAAACAAAACAAGCTTGTCTGAACACCCCTCTGTAACCTCATTCATGTCAACTATTCAATATACTTATAAATTGTTCAGGAACAACAAATTAAAACCTGTTAATTAATATATGACAATTATATCGGTTTTATTAAAAAAAAAGTTGGATATGCTTAGAAGTGGATTTCTCATTGCTTGTAATGTTTGTAAAAGATGTTGCTTTCCATTTTGCTTTTGGATGTAGTTGTTTGTTATGCATATTTGAAAAATATTCGAATCATACCTAGAGAGTCGTCTTGGTTGAAAGTTCATGATGCTGATAAAAGCATGCCCCAACAAACAGCAGAATATCAAAGTGAAAAAGTAAGTCTTTATTTTCTAATGTTTATAAGTGTCAGTATAATTTTACTTTATGCAACCTTTATGGAACTTACATAGTTACTACTGAAATTCTGGGAAATTTCATCAGTTTTATCGTTTAAAAGTTTGCATAAAACCCGTATGCTAATTAAACTAATGTAAATTTAAAAGGCCTATAGAATGGACTTTTATACAATTGCAATTTTGTAGAATTTGTTTTCCTTTTTTGGTAAGCATGTTTTATTAAATACTTTTTCATTATGATATACATGTACAACTTTATTAATTTTCATCAAACTAACAAATTACAAACGTCTGCGTTAGAATTCATCTCTTGTGTAATGTATTTGTTTGTCTGATACTTAATATCATTTAGGAAAACGCCGTGTACTAGTAATCTGTTTGTCAATTGTTTGATCGCAAAGAAAGTATTGTCTTAGTTTTTATTTTTTTTCTAAATAGCGTAAACATTGATTACAATTTTTTTTATACACTCTTCTGCATATGGAGCTATATGAAAATCGCCTGGTGTCACTGTTTTTTTTTTTTTTTGGAAAATGTCAAATAATCTTGCAATAACGTAATAACTCCCAAAAACATAACATTCGCAATTCATTATTTGGTCAATTTTGATTTCTTATATAAAGTAGGAATATGTTGCATTTAAAATTCATTCTTTAATGAATGTGTGCCACAAATTTATAGCGCGATATTGCAAAAATTTACGGAGATCGACATAAGTTAGTTGATACACCTTAAAAATCTCTAACAGCCATCTATATTAAATATATTATAAACTTTTGAATAACTAATAATATTTTGATCTGTTCAATATCTTCAGAATGCTATAAAAAACATTGATGGTTGTGCCAATTACAAACTTTAACGCATTACTGATAAAAAAATATCTCCATTTACCCAGATCTACCCTCTTTGTTAAAATTTACTTGCTTGAACTAAATAAATACAAAACGTTTGAATATCAAAAGGGACAGCAGTTTGTTAAATTATCAGATTTCTCAATTGAAACGTTTCGCCACTACAAATTATTTATATACTAAAAAGTATAAAAATGTTGTCCACGCTAATAAAATAAAGTACTGTGGATTCATTAATTTTCGTTGTATACCAATTTTCGTGGATTTCGTGGGTACAGGTTAACCACGTATTTAAATGTTCATCAAATTGCAAATTTTCCATTGGCTTGTATGCAGACTTTGGCAAAAGCACGAAATTAAATATCCACGAAAGTATAAGTTTCCTCAATCCACGAAAATTGGTACTAACGAAAATAAATGAATCCAAAATATGCTGTTACTCTCTATGTTTGCTATATTCTTAACGTTTATCTCGTAATTCTGTTTATTTTGTATTTACACTGTCACCCCATTTAATTATTTTATGTTTCTTTGTTTACTACAAATTCAAATTTAATTTAGAATTGGGGACCAGACTAAATTATTAGATTGATGTCTGTGCGTTTATCATTAGCACAATAAAATTTTGTTCAAAGACAATTGACTAAATATGTTTATAGTCTCTTTTTGTCTACAGGATTCTGAATAACTCAAAATTAAATATATTTGAAACTGAAAACTTCTTCCTTCTTAGTAGTTCTAAGCGTGCTTTAAATCAATTTGAAACTGAAATATTCTTCCTTCTTAATAATTCAAAGACTGCTTTAAATCAAATTTGCACATTGTAAAATCTTAGAATTTGTAGAGGAAGATTTCAACCATCCTGTTAACATGGTTGCACAGTAACCGCAAATATCAGGAACACAAAACGCCCTTGTCAAAGTCAGAGTTGATAAGTAAAAAACATGGAATACATTTAAACGAACAAAATTTACCCCATCCTCATTTTTATCTTTTACTTTATTTAAGGTTATCATGTAAATAAAAAAAAAAACATTTTGGTGCAATGAGTGCTATCAGTTGCAGAAAAGACAGGTTTTAATACATTACAGTGCATTATAATTTACTAATTGCTACCGCATCACTTATGCATTTCAAAAACATATTTACCAGTTATTGGTTGTAATAAAAGAATGCAATCAAAGTTAACAATAGAAGACTATTAGGTGTTGCTGTGAGTCATATTATATTTGTACCATTCAAAAAAAGACGTTTGATATGATTGACATTGAGACAACTATCCACCAAGTGCGAATGACAAAGATTAAACGACTATAGTGAAATGTACAAACTTCCACAATTGGCAACAACCATACTGTGGAGACAGTTATAAAAAGACCGAAAAAAAATAAAACTGTGAAACAATTCAAACCAGAAATCTAACGGCTTTAATTTTGACAAAACAATTGAAGCAACCTTAATCGTAACCGCTTACAATTAATAATTAAAAAGTTGTATGTACATTAGTAATATTCTATTATTTCATGAGTTTTTTATCTGAAGTACAACCCCCTTATTTCTTTACATTTTATAATTTCCAATGTTCTTATAGTTTCTAGGTTCACCGCCGAAAAAATTCATGGAATTTTTATATAAAGGACGATAGTAAAAATTTTCTTTCCTTGGGAAATAATTATTTTCTCGTTCACTTCCCCTCCCCCCTAACCTCCCAAGTTTTTTCATTTGTTATGTACACACATTGAAAAGTGTCCTCGTGTTAAAAATATTCGATCTTTCTATACAACTGTTGGTACGAATCTTCATGGATGAAAAACTAGCACTAAATTTGAGGTTGCTAGCCGTTATACGAGACAAGATCCAAAAAGTACAAGTAACGAGCAAAAATATTGGGATTCGAATTAATTCCAAACGGAAGGAGACAGCGTAAGCATCCGTTGCCATGCTACGTATCACCCATTCAGGTATTTAAAGGTTGTATTCGGTGGCAAGTGATTAGACCTGATGTGTACCCCCAAAACAAATCATCAAAGACACTAGGTATTTTGTAATCTAGTATGGTCGTTTAGTCTAGATAAGACTGATGAGTCGAGCTCGAATAGTTGTAAAGCAAAATCAAATTCAAAATTGAAGAATATCGAACCAACAAATTTTTCCAAAAATTTGTGCCGAAATGACAAAGGCCGTACAT